ATAAAGCAAGTCCTTAGAGACTTACAAAGAGACTTAGACTCCCATACAATAATAATGGGAGACTTCAACACTCCACTGTCAACATTAGACAGATCAATGAGACAGAAAGTTAACAAGGATATCCAGGAATTGAACTCATCTCTGCAACAAGCAGACCTAATAGACATCTATAGAACTCTCCACCCCAAATCAACAGAATATACATTCTTCTCAGCACCACATCATACTTACTCCAAAATTGACCACGTAATTGGAAGTAAAGCACTCCTCAGCAAATGTACAAGAACAGAAATTATAACAAACCGTCTCTCAGACCACAGTGCAATCAAACTAGAACTCAGGACTAAGAAACTCACTCAAAACCGCTCAACTACATGGAAACTGAACAACCTGCTCCTGAATGACTACTGGGTACATAACGAAATGAAGGCAGAAATAAAGATGTTCTTTGAAACCAATGAGAACAAAGATACAACATACCAGAATCTCTGGGACACATTTAAAGCAGTGTGTAGAGGGAAATTTATAGCACTAAATGCCCACAAGAGAAAGCAGGAAAGATGTAAAATTGACACTCTAACATCGCAATTAAAAGAACTAGAGAAGCAAGAGCAAACACATTCGAAAGCTAGCAGAAGGCAAGAAATAACTAAGATCAGAGCAGAACTGAAGGAGATAGAGACACAAAAAACCCTCCAAAAAATCAATGAATCCAGGAGTTGGTTTTTTGAAAAGATCAACAAAATTGACAGACCACTAGCCAGACTAATAAAGAAGAAAGAGAGAAGAATCAAATAGACGCAATTAAAAATGATCAAGGGGATATCACCACCGACCCCACAGAAATACAAACTACCATCAGAGAATACTATAAACACCTCTACGCAAATAAACTGGAAAATCTAGAAGAAATGGATAATTTCCTGGACACTTACACTCTTCCAAGACTAAACCAGGAAGAAGTTGAATCCCTGAATAGACCAATAGCAGGCTCTGAAATTGAGGCAACAATTAATAGCCTACCAACCAAAAAAGTCCAGGACCAGATGGATTCACAGCTGAATTCTACCAGAGGTACAAAGAGGAGTTGGTACCATTCCTTCTGAAACTATTCCAATCAATAGAAAAAGAGGGAATCCTCCCTAACTCATTTTATGAGGCCAACATCATCCTGATACCAAAGCCTGGCAGAGACACAACAAAAAAAGAGAATTTTAGACCAATATCCCTGATGAACATCGATGCAAAAATCCTCAATAAAATACTGGCAAACCGGATTCAGCAACACATCAAAAAGCTTATCCACCATGATCAAGTGGGCTTCATCCCTGGGATGCAAGGCTGGTTCAACATTTGCAAATCAATAAACATAATCCAGCATATAAACAGAACCAAAGACAAGAACCACATGATTATCTCAATTGATGCAGAAAAGGCTTTTGACAAAATTCAACAGCCCTTCATGCTAAAAACGCTCAATAAATTCGGTATTGATGGAACGTACCTCAAAATAATAAGAGCTATTTATGACAAACCCACAGCCAATATCATACTGAATGGGCAAAAACTGGAAAAATTCCCTTTGAAAACTGGCACAAGACAGGGATGCCCTCTCTCACCACTCCTATTCAACATAGTGTTGGAAGTTCTGGCTAGGGCAATCAGGCAAGAGAAAGAAATCAAGGGTATTCAGTTAGGAAAAGAAGAAGTCAAATTGTCCCTGTTTGCAGATGACATGATTGTATATTTAGAAAACCCCATTGTCTCAGCCCAAAATCTCCTTAAGCTGATAAGCAACTTCAGCAAAGTCTCAGGATACAAAATTAATGTGCAAAAATCACAAGCATTCTTATACACCAGTAACAGACAAACAGAGAGCCAAATCAGGAATGAACTTCCATTCACAATTGCTTCAAAGAGAATAAAATACCTAGGAATCCAACTTACAAGGGATGTAAAGGACCTCTTCAAGGAGAACTACAAACCACTGCTCAGTGAAATAAAAGAGGACACAAACAAATGGAAGAACATACCATGCTCATGGATAGGAAGAATCAATATTGTGAAAATGGCCATACTGCCCAAGGTAATTTATAGATTCAATGCCATCCCCATCAAGCTACCAATGAGTTTCTTCACAGAATTGGAAAAAACTGCTTTAAAGTTCATATGGAACCAAAAAAGAGCCCGCATCTCCAAGACAATCCTAAGTCAAAAGAACAAAGCTGGAGGCATCACGCTACCTGACTTCAAACTATACTACAAGGCTACAGTAACCAAAACAGCATGGTACTGGTACCAAAACAGAGATATAGACCAATGGAACAGAACAGAGTCCTCAGAAATAATACCACACATCTACAGCCATTTGATCTTTGACAAACCTGAGAGAAACAAGAAATGGGGAAAGGATTCCCTATTTAATAAATGGTGCTGGGAAAATTGGCTAGCCATAAGTAGAAAGCTGAAACTGGATCCTTTCCTTACTCCTTATACGAAAATTAATTCAAGATGGATTAGAGACTTAAATGTTAGACCTAGTACCATAAAATCCTAGAGGAAACCTAGGTAGTACCATTCAGGACATAGGCATGGGCAAAGATTTCATGTCTAAAACACCAAAAGCAACGGCAGCAAAAGCCAAAATTGACAAATGGGATCTCATTAAGCTAAAGAGCTTCTGCACAGCAAAAGACACTACCATCAGAGTGAACAGGCAACCTACAGAATGGGAGAAAATTTTTGCAATCTACTCATCTGACAAAGGGCTAATATCCAGAACCTACAAAGAACTCAAACAAATTTACAAGAAAAAAACAAACAACCCCATCAAAAAGTGGGCAAAGGACATGAACAGACATTTCTCAAAAGAAGACATTCATACAGCCAACAGACACATGAAAAAATGCTCATCATCACTGGCCATCAGAGAAATGCAAATCAAAACCACAATGAGATACCATCTCACACCAGTTAGAATGGCAATCATTAAAAAGTCAGGAAACAACAGGTGCTGGAGAGGATGTGGAGAAATAGGAACACTTTTACACTGTTGGTGGGATTGTAAACTAGTTCAACCATTATGGAAAACAGTATGGCGATTCCTCAAGGATCTAGAACTAGATGTACCATATGACCCAGCCATCCCATTACTGGGTATATACCCAAAGGATTATAAATTATGCTGCTATAAAGACACATGCACACGTATGTTTATTGCAGCACTATTCACAATAGCAAAGACTTGGAATCAACCCAAATGTCCATCAGTGACAGATTGGATTAAGAAAATGTGGCACATATACACCATGGAATACTATGCAGCCATAAAAAAGGATGAGTTTGAGTCCTTTGTAGGGACTTGGATGCAGCTGGAATCCATCATTCTTAGCAAACTATCACAAGAACAGAAAACCAAACACCGCATGTTCTCACTCATAGGTGGGAACTGAACAATGAGATCACTCGGACTCAGGAAGGGGAACATCACACACCGGGGCCTATCATGGGGAGGGGGGAGGGGGGAGGGATTGCATTGGGAGTTATACCTGATGTAAATGACGAGTTGATGGGTGCAGCACAGCAACATGGCACAAGTATACATATGTAACAAACCTGCACGTTATGCACATGTACCCTACAACTTAAAGTATAATAATAATAAATAAATTAAAAAAAAAAAAAGAAGAAAAAAAAAAAAAAAGAAATTCATGTTATCTTTCCTTTCACAGTAATACCACTGGAGAGTTTTCTACACCAGTCAACTCTTATTAATTTAATCTCCTTTTTTGAAAGCAACAGGCCAGCAGTACACATCAGACTTTAAGGTTTCAATTGCCATATTTTCAGCTTGTTTCATGCATTTTTCTCTAATCTCAAGCAACCAAATGTTCTTTTTCAGCATCACATGTATTTTACTATATTAGTAATTTAATAAAAACTGTAAATACTTATGTTCTCAAAACTGACCCAAATGGATGTGAAAGAAGCATTTTATATCTTGGTGAATGGTAGAAGAGAAGGAGATGGAGACTTTTTAAAAAAAATCACTAATTTTGTTTTTAGGTACCCTCATTGATTTTGTTTTCAGTACACTCAAATTGTTATAAGTGAGAGAGAAAAAGAACTACTTGGGAGGACTAAAAAAAATGCTGTGCACGAAAAAAGAGGGCAATTAGCTATGAAAACTGACATCCCTTGATGGGAGGAAATGACAGGAGGGAATATGAAATAAACCCATTGTTTTTCACAGAAAGCAGTAAAGAAATACAACAGCTGTACAGATAAATAACCTTTGGTATGAACAGTTTTTAAGTGTTGGTTTCCATCTCCATAATGGAGAATTTCATTTTTAACTGGAATGAAAAAGGAGGAAAGAAGCAGTCACTCTTTGAGTCTAAAAGCAAATCTCAGACTCAAGGTGAGAATTTTGGGTTTGGAGATAGGATATGAGTGTGGATTATAAAATTTTGAATCTCAACAAAAAGCATTCTTTGGCCATTATTTATCTCTTACACAGTATCATCATGGTAGGCCGTACGTCCCTGGATATGAAAGTAGAAAATTGAAAAACTAACAGAAAATGAAGAGGCATCCTCTATATTTGGTTTCGTTTTCGATTATTACATGTATTAAACCCAGGTAATTCCAGACAAGACAAACTATAGCACTTAAATATGTAAAATAATGAACTTATCTAGGTAGAAATCAGATAACCTTGTTCAGTGAATTGTCTAAGCACTTTTTAAAAGTAGGTAGATTCCCAAGGAAGCGCAAAGTTAAGTCATACCTTATTAACAGGCAGCATCAAATACTAATAATTATCTGTATCATCTCAGTTATCCTCAGATAGCTCCATGCCTTGAATCAACAGCTTGAAGGTGATTGAAAATACCAGTAGAAATTGGAATGTTGAGTTAACCACATGTCTACTGGTGTGAATTTAAACACTGATTGCTGTAAGTTACAATACCACATATGGTTTTGTTCTCCTTTAACAGGATACCCAAAAGGCACGTATAGTCCATATTGCCAAAAGATGTGTAAGTGCCTGAATCGTGGCATCTGTAACACCATGATTGGCACCTGTATCTGCCCTCCTAGCTTCACTGGGGCCGACTGAAGTCAAAGTAAGTTATTATTGCCTATTATGGAGTGGATATGCTGATCATTCCAAGGCCCAATACTGGTAGCAAAAGTACTAAAGCTGAGAACTGGAGTTTTTAAGAACTGCAATTAAAGAGTAAATGTTGCAATTATTTTACTTCCTAATTTATAGTACTAACAGCAAACACAAACTGATCTAAATTCTAGGTTGAAAAATATCTATGTAGGAGTTTGGTTGACAGCTAAAGACAGTGAAAGTAGCCAAAGAGATCTTTTTGGTGATAACCCCCCTTGCCCCAGCAACGCTAGACTCAAGTCAGTATTAGAAAATACGTTTGCCAAGATCAGAGCAGACTTGAGATTACTGTGTTCACAGTGTCAAACTCATTGTCTAAAGTTCCACAATTTCATTTATGCTCAGCAATTTCCTATCTCAAAAGTAAGTGGTTTTCCTGCTCACCAAAAAGTAAACAGTTTCCTAAAAGCCAAAGACCTTAAATTAACTACTTATCACAAAAACAACTATTGACATGAAGTTTAAGGCACTAGATTGAAGAGCCCTTACAAATGCACAGACTTAGACACTCTGAGGATATGGTTACCAAGTATATTTTGTTTTTTCTTTTTTCAGATCTGCCATTTTAAAAATATTTATATAGTTTTGCTTAACCCAAATAACTCGACCCATAGTCATATACTCTGACTCCTCTGACGCTTCAGGTGAGAGTTACTCAGGATGAAACCCTCACATGTGAAGCCACGGTTATGATAATTTCTAGGGAAGATAAAAGAGGCAATGAGCAGGAGAGTGCATTGTGGGGAAGTCAGTCCTGGCAACACTGTATTTTTGACATGGGTGTTATGAATGAGGATTTGTGATCGTCCATTGAACTGCACATTTGTGTTTTTGTGCTTTATCCTGTAATCTTATGAATTAAAAAAGTACCTCCAACAGATCTTAAAATAAAGATGGAAGTACTGCCTTAACACACACCTCAACATGAGTGAACTAGATCGTGAAATACCTTCATTTGAGATTCCTTCATTTGGATGAATGATAGCTAAGTTTGTAACTAGACAGGGTACTACACTGTTATGTGCTAAAGACACCCAAAGTGCTTATGTTTCCTGGTCAGTCAGTTGCTTTGTCTGCTTTGTAGGAGGGTAATTTTTCTGTTTAAGTGCCCTGCAGGCCTCAGCGCTCTGCTATATTGAGAATAAACGACAAGACAAAACCTGGCTCCAGGTAGCAGACAACCGACACCTAGTGGATAGTGCCTCCTGAGGCCTCAATTGGCAAATTATCTTTCAGTTAAGGCCAACCTATAAACATTTCTTAAGCAACGTTCTGTCTGGTTCCTTTCTATTTGTTCTTGAAAGAGAGTAAGTGGAAGAAATGTCCTCCTGCCAAAGCATTTTCAAAGCTGTGATTTCTCTGAACACTGGGGGTACTTTGGTCTTAAGAAAGTTGTGATCTTGTACCTAAGCACTTTCCATTTGCTTTGACAGCTTAGTAGGGTAGAGCCAAATTTGCAACTCACTTCTTAAATGTTCCAAAAAATATGATTTTTATTTTATATTATTACCATATTTTCCCTTCTACGTGATTCTCAACAGATATTTATTTTATCTTTGTGTATTTATGTATATTTTGGTAAGCATCTCGAATTTGTGGAATGAAGTTGCAAAAAATAACCAAACAAATTAATAAATATACAAATGAATATTTGAAGATATGAGCATAATGAATCTCATATTTATGTACAGGAACTTTAGCTAATATTCTAGAATGGGCTTTATATACTCAAGATTATTATAAATATATATTTTGTATATATATTATATGCACATATATTATATAACATAATATATGTACACATAATATTCCTATATGTGTTATATAACATATATGTACACATAATATACCTACATATATTATATAACATAATATATGTAATATACATATGCATACATATAGAGAGAGAGACACACACACACACACACACACTCTTATACTTGCTAAGACAGAGACACATGGCAAAGAAAAACAATCCAAATTGGGAACAGTTGAGGTCCCTAATTTGTAAGAGACATTCATATTATATGTAAGTTTTTGACACTAGATATTCAGTTGAAAATTCCTAACGCCAACTAAAATGGCTCTATGTAAGCAGCAATTTAAACAGTCCCTTGTTTTGCTTTGTTTATTTCTAAGTAACCTTTCAGATTGAAAATCAAACTAAAAGCAAGTCAGTAAAACCTATTTGATTAAATGAAAATGTCATGTATTTCACAACTTTTAAAAAATCTTGTCTGGCAAAATGTTTAATAAGAAAAATCTGGTTTTGTTTTGCTCTGCTTTATTTTGCTCTTACTTGCAGCTTGTCCTGAAGATCACTGTGGGCAGAACTGTGTTCAACGGCTTCCTGTGGCCCAGGACAAGGTGACCCAGTGACTGGAGTGTGTCAGTGTCCACCTGGCCGAATGGGAACCAGGTGTCAGGAAGGTAACAATGATGGCAAGGTCACCTTCTCTGTCCAGGCACTAATTTAGCTACGCTGCAAAAGTAGATTTGGTGCCAACGAAGATAATTATATGCGCAATACTTACAAGAATTTTTTCTTTTAGTGTGGCTTTCAAATAACATGAAAGTACATGCTCCCGGGCCCGGCGCAGTGACTCACGCCTGAAATCCCAGCACTTTGGGAGGCTGGGGAGGGCGGATCACGAAGTCAGTATATCGAGACCATCCTGGTTAACACGGTGAAACCCTGCCTCTACTAAAAATATAAAAAATTAGCGGGGCTTGGTGGTGGGCGCCTGTAGTCCCATCTACTCAGGAGGCTGAGGCAGGAGAATGGCGTGAACCCGGGAGGCGGAGCTTGCAGGGAGCCGGGATCGCGCCACTGCACTCCAGCCTGGCGACAGAGCGAGACCCCGTCTCAAAAACAAAAACAAAAATTAAAAAAGAAACAAACAAACAAAAATGCTACCATAGCGCTATATAGTAAATAGCTTACTGGAAGATAAGCACAAATTGGAAACAAAAGCAAAGAATAACTTATGCATGCTCTTGACAGGGAAGAAATTTTCAGACAACATTTGATAACTTTTATAAAACTGCCAAAAATTGTGTGTTGGAGATGTCTAATTATAAGAACTAAATAATTTTATATCCCCTTCAATCAGAAGGTTGAACCTGAAGAGGCCCCCTGAAATCTATAAGAAAAATGGGAGACAAGGAGAAAAACACAATCTTTGTTGAACACTGCAAAATTTTCTTATCCTAATTGTAGTATTTGTTATTACTGTCATAAGGAGAGAAGAGCTGTCAAGTTTCAGAAAACAGGGATTTTTCGGGAGAATACTGGGCCCCTAGAGATCTTAAGTAGGGTCAGCAGAGCGGCCACTTCTCCATGGCACACACAGAGAGCAAAACTAAGGACAGTTTCCTGAAAAATAAGGATTGGGTGAATAGGAGGGCTATTGAAACTTCTCTGAATCCCACTGAACATCTTAGAGTGGAGGAAAACTGAACAAAACAAAACAGGAATTACACAGACATACCATGTTTTTAACTCTGCACTAGGACAGAAAGGAATCTGTGGGTAGTTTAGCAGCCTTGCAACTAAAGAAAAGCTCAGCCCACACATATCTCTCACACACACACACACACACACACACACACATACATTCCACACCTTGTGTTATATGGAGCTGCACGCTGGATGAAGAAGGCTTTCTTCTAGCTGAGATCATTTTTCTAACCCTAACTCAACACTATCCTTCCAGAAATATCTGGTGCATTGAAAAATGAAGCTTGTAGATAAAATACTTCTCTCATTTACAAACAAAAACTGAAACTGTTCAAAGCTTCCCTTGCTTTTTTAGTGCAAATTCTGTAAGAAGGAAAAAGGAGTAAAGGAATACGAAAAAGAAAAGGCAGATGAAACAAGAGCAGAAAAGTTTTGCTATGGAGCACATGAAGAGATATTAACCAGAATCTCTTCCAAGAATTCAAAGGATGTAATGAAAAGGTGTTCTCTATAAAATGTGAGTGCAATGCAGAGATACAAGGGTTCATGCAATAAATGAAAAGACAACAAAAGGAAATGAAAAAGTAAGCTGGCAGAGCTCAAAAAAGAAGTGGAAATGAAAATTAAACCTCACATCATATAAATGAAGGCCACATTGGGAGCAGGTAAAGGAAGGACAGAATCTGCTGATAGTACAGCCAGGTTAAAGAAAAATGAGGAAAGTTAAAATAATGAAATGGAAAAGAAATGAGAGAGAAATGTATAATTGGAAGAGGAAAATGTTCAGATATAATGTTCAAGATTTTTCCTTTGAAATAAAAGATCTGATGTTACATATTGAATGAATATATTTTATCTCAGGAAATAATAGTTACAGTGGCTCAAAGGCAAGGGGGAAACTCCACTGAAGATATAAGGAAAAATATGAGCTTACTTAAGAATGAGAAAAATCAGTCTGACTTTTTACCTTATAGCAGTATTCATTGCCAACATATGGCTAATCAATGCCTATTAAGTTCATGAGGAAAAAATGTGACATGTATTTTATACACTATTAGCTGTTATTCAAATATAATATGGTGGCAAATTAACCACTTTTTTAAAAGTTGCCGGAAATATAGTAGCCTTAAAATACTTTAAAGAAACAATTGCAAGATAAATTTAAGCAGCCAAATAATAAATGGGAAATATCTGATAAAAAGACTATTAGTAAACATTACATTCATCTTAGTTAAGGCTAAGTTTAAAACAGTTGTGGGAATTATGCCTCCATGACAGAAGATAAATATTGTAAATTATAACAATTGTAGAGATTTTAACAGTGCTAACAAGTCATAAACTGGAAAGACAGAGAAAGCAAAGGAGTATAGGTATACTGGTCTTATTTCCTCATTAAAGGTTGTGGGGTACATGGGAGAGATCTGTGTCAAAACATATTATTTAAATATAATAATACAGTAAGTGTGTTTAAGTGTATAAAGGTACATTCTAGAATTTAGAATACTTCAACTGAGATGTTAAGAATAAAAATACATCCAACTAAAAGCAGATGGAGGAACGAAATGAAAAAAAAAATAAGAGAAAGCAGAATAGTATTAACTTCATTACCATTTATACTGAATTAAAATGTACTAAATAAATAAATTTACTATATTATATAATATCTGCACTCTCTAAACAAGGTTCCCTAAATTATGTAAGAGTATATTTATAAGGCTCATGTAGGGAACAATGGAGTACACATACCTTTTCCTATTGCTACCTTTCAACATAGTAAACATTCCACATAATGTAGAAAACAAACATAAGTCTCTGAAATATGAAGAAAAGAAAGCAGATTGGATAAGAACCTTAGAAACCTAGGAAGCAACATGATGGCGAGTTCCCTGGTTTCATTTTGTTTTGTTTAGTTTTGTGTTATTTTGTTTTTGTTTTGTTTTGTTTTTTGTCTCATATATCCCAGATTAAGTGCTGGAGAAACCTACAACCCAGGTGGGCCAATGGGTGCAGACAAAGGTCTAAGATACAATTGATTTCTCTAGTCAAAGGACAGGAAATGGGACGGTCTAGCAATAAAGAAAACTTTTAGAAAATAACTGGTCTTCTTCAGGCAAACACTACGAAATGCAGCTGTATCCTCAATCCCAATCCCATGAGCAAGGGCCAAATGAGGAGTGTACACTTCAAACCCCATCCTGATATGAGAAGGTACCCCTCTCTACCCCGCACACCAGGACTATGTAAGAGAAGGCATCGTGGGGAGTTTGGACTTTCGTCCCTACCAGTTAGTAACAAGCCTCTACCTATGCAGTTAGTCCAAGGAGACCATGTGATGTGAAGAGTGTGGACTTTCACCTCCACCAGACAGCAGAGAGACATTGTTCCTCCCTTTTGGTGGTATCAGAGGAGGTCTAGTAGAGTCAGGACTCCCACAACCACCAAGTAGTAATGAATGTAGTGTCAGTGGAGACAAGGTGGGAGCCATAGAATGCACCTCTAACCTTATCAGTGACATTGGTATAGCAGAGGCATAGTGAGGAGCTGAATTCCCATCCTGCCCAGCAGGATGGGGCCCCATTTATCCAACCTCCTACTTGGTGGCCATCTAGGGAACTTGAACCTCTACCTGGTGAACTCCTATTCTCACCAGTGTAATATAGAAGGAGGAGGCTTGCTAAAATGGAAAATTTAAATGAGATCCATGTTCTGGTATCATAATATTCAAAATTTCCAAGTTTCAATATTTTAAAATTCATCAACCAACAACTTGGAGAATTTCAGCTTATGGAAGAGGAGACAATCAACAGATGCCAACACAGAGAGGACACTAATGTTAAATTTATCTGACAAGAATTTTAAAGCATTTGTCATAAAAATGCCTCAATGAGCAACTACAGATATAATTAAAACAAATAAAAAGTTAAAAGGCTCAGCAAAGGATAAAAGACATTCAGAAGAACCAAATGGAAATTTTAGACCTGGAAAATAAAATTACCAAAATAAAAAGCTCAATGGATGAGTTCAACAGCAGAATGGAGTGGACAGAGGAACAAACCAATGAACTTGAAGGAATGATGGAAATTACCCAACCTGAACAACAAAGAGAGAAAAAAATAGCAACCAACAAACACACACACACAGCCTCAGACACCTGTAGTACTATAAGAAAATATCTACCATTATGTCATCTGAGTCCCAGAAGAGGAAAAAGAGGGTGGAGATGAAAAAATATTTAAAGGAATAATGGCTGAGAATTTTCTGAATGTGACAAGAAACATAAACCTACAGTTTGAAGAAGCTGTGTTAATGCCAAACAAGATAAACTCAAAGAAATTTACAAAAGTCATATCAACATCAAACTTCTGAAAATTAAATATACATTAATTTAACTAATATATATTAATATGTGTTAAATAATATATCAAATCAATTGGTATATTAAAGATAATCTATATTTTAATTCAATTAATGAATAAACTATATTAATTTTAATATAATGAATAATTTATATATTATATATATCAAATACATTAATACATATTTCATTTTCAGAAGCTTGATGTTGATATTTCTTTTATAGATAGGTGGTGAGAGAGAAACAACAACACCTCAGCTATAGAAGAAATACAAATAGAATGACAGCAGATTTCTCATCAAAAGTCATGGAAGGGAGGCAACATATCTGAAGTGCTGGGAAAAAAAACAAACCAACCATCAAACCAGAATCATATATCCAGCAAAAAAACAATCCTTCAAGAATGGAAAGGAGATTTTAAAAAAATTCTCAGATGAAGGAAAGCAGAGAATTTGTTGCTAGCGGACTTAACCTAAAGGAATGGCTAAAGGAACTTCTGGAAACCAAAAGAAAATGACTAAGAAAGAATATTGGAACATCAGGAAAATTAGAATGCATAAAGGAAAGAGTAAAAATATAGCAGCACAAACTATTTTTCTTTTCTGCTTGAGTTTTCTAGATTATACTTGGCAGATGAAGCAAAAACTATGACACTGATATAGTTCTCAATGTATATAGAAAAAATATTTGATAATTTATTATAAATGAGGAGAGTAAAGTGACAGAAAGGAGATTAGGTTGCCACACATCATTCAAGCTGGTAAAATATTGACTCTGTAGATTGTAAGTCAGGTGTGTATAACATGATACCTAAAGAAGTACCAAAAAATCTATATAAAAG